CCTCCCAAGGAGCTGGGACTACAGGTACCCGCCACAATGCCCAGCTATTTTTTGGTTGTAGCCTTTATTGTGGTTTGGCGGGCCCAGGCTAGATTCAAACCCACCAGCTCAGGTGTATGTGCCTGGTGCCTTAGCCACCTGAGCCACAGGTGCCGAACCAATACTGGTCTCTTAAAACAAACAAACAAACAAACAAACAAAAAAACCCCACTGTGCCAAGTTTCTAAAAACCGTTCTTTAAAATTTACACAATAGAAGAAGAAAGAAACCCGGGCGGTGCCTATGGCTCAAGGAGTAGGGTGCTAGCCCATATACTGGGGGTGGTGGGTTCAAGCCTGGCCGTGGTCAATACTACAATAAATAAATAAACAAATAAAAGAAAAAGGAAAAAAAAAAACCCCATTCTACATCAGTTATGTGAGAAGACCATGGGCTTAAAGCTATAAAAATGGGGCGGCCCCTGTGGCTTAGTGAGTAGGGCGCCAGCCCCATATAACAAGGGTGGTAGGTTCAAACCCAGCCCCAGCCAAACTTCAACAAAAAATAGCTGGCATCTGTGGTCCCAGCTACTTGGGGGGCTGAGGCAAGAGAATGGCCTAAGCCCAAGAGCTGGAGGTTGCTGTGAGCTGTGATGTCATAGAACTCTAATGAGGGCGAGAAAGTGAGACTCTGTCTCTAAAAAATAATTAAACAAACAAACGAAACAATTTAACAATATAATTTTTTCAGTGCAGGACAGATTAATTCATGAGGTTAAAGGTCAGGCTCAGGCCTGTAATCCTAACTAACACTTAGAGGACTGAGGTAGCTGGATTGCCTGAGCTCAGTGAGTTTGAGACCAGCTTGTAAGAGTGACATCCTGTCTCTAAAAATAGCCAGGCACTGAGAGAGGAGTCTGTAGTCCCAGCTACTCAGGAGGTGGAGGCAAAAAAATAGCCACTGGAGCTCAAGAATTTGAGGCTGTTGTCTCCAAAACAAACAAACAAATAATAAAAAAAAAAAAACTAGCCACTAACTGAGTGTGTTAGCTACCCCTTATCCATGAGCCTTAGAAACCATTTTTAAATTTATCAGTAAGTATATCACAAAAGGCTTCAGCTTATGGTGGGTAAAGGTACAAGTCAGCAAAAAATACCAATTTCTCACTTAAAAGTTTTTAGTTGCTAGTGGGTCAGTCAGAAGATTTATGTAACTAAAAGCTTGTCAGAAGGCACTAAATTATAATACCAAAACTAGGTACCTTTCTCGAGACCTAGATCTTGAGTGACTTCTGCCTCTTGATGATTTTCTTTCTTTGCGTTTGTGTCTGTCCTCACCATTTTCAGATGAATTCAGTCGCTCTCTTCCTTTATCAGATGAATGTTCTTTGTCATTATGTTCCTCAGACTTGTGTTTCTTAGAGGATTTATCTTTGGATTCATGTCTTCTTGCCTGTTTTAAGAAGAAGTTGGTTCTTTCAGGAAAATAGTGCAACAAAGAGAGTTAGTATGGGTATCAGTAGACAAAAATGTTGTGATGCAACATTAGTAACCTTAGGAGTGTGTGGCAAATAAACATGATCTAATTTCACATAACCCAAATGTTGCAGATGTAATTACTAGTTTTGTCCCTTACCAAATGCAGTCCCCCCAAATAATTTCAATACCACAAAACAATGATTTTCAAAGTTGAAAAACAGAAAAACCATTAAAGAAAAATCCCTTATGTTTAGATATAGGAACAAAGATCATCATATACATAAATTTCTAAACCAAGAGTATGTAATATTAAGAAGTAAACAATAATGGAGATAACAAGACAGAGAAATGCACCAGAAAATGCATTTCATATTAAGTAGCTTAGTATTACTAAGCATTAATATATTCTGCAGTTTCAAATTACTTTACAAAAGTTGCAATGTCTCTCTTATAGCTATACTGCCTGTCACATCCTCTCTAGAAGATTATCTCTTGATTTTTCTCCCAGTGTCTAAACTGTGAAATAATCACTTTTCATCTTGCAATATCCCAACAGGCTTGGAGTTCTATTATATTTCATGTACCTAGGGCAGAAATGGGAACCATATGTATTTTAATTTTTAGGAGATCAAGCTATGCATAACATAATCCCTATGCCAACATAACATACATACTTCCACCATACTCTGAAAGATTAAAACCAAAGCTTTCAACATAGGCATTCAGAAACTCAGCTAAAATTAACTGCACACCACATTACCAAACACCAAAGTAGGAAGTGCTATATATTATGTTTCCCCACATTATAACTTGTTAATCCATCTTGTAGCTAAGGCTTAAAATTCTAGACATCTCCAGAGTCACTAAATTTTAAATCTGGAAGGAAGTTCAGATCCTCTAATTTAATCCCCTTATTTTACGTATTAACTTAACTAGGACCTAAAGTCTCAAAGCTACATAGTAGTTGAGCCAAAGTTAGACCTCACGTTCTTCTGATGCCCAGGCCACCACTCTTCCACCAAAATAGGACACTTATGTTTCCCCAAATAGGTGAAAGCATATGTGTATTTCTTTCCACTCAAGATTAACTTTTCTTAAAAATAAAAAAATTGACCAATCATTTTGGAACATGCATGATGATACAGCTGAAAATGATAATAGCATGATTTATTATTCTGTAGAAAAATAAGAGACCTGGAGATACAGCTGAATTTTAGTTTCATTGCCAGTTCTCCATGAGCTTAGACAAGAAAATTTGCTTGATTTTGCCATAAAGAGGCAGAATGGAAAATGTACAAGTGTTTTAACTTTAAAAGGTTTTAAAGTTTATTTCAAACCAGTTTCCAAACATAACATTACTATTAATTTATAAAAAAACATTAAAACCCTTAACTGATTTAAGATATATTTAAGGGAAATAGGAGTTTGAATGACTAATAGTTACCTTATCATGAAGTAGGCTTATTATTTTGCTATCTGAGTCTGCAGCGTCTTCTGTTCAGTCTCTTCGCGCATTAGCACGCTGAGTATGATTTATTATAGAAATGTTATCATGTGAGCTAAACAAAATAGTCATTTTTACAAAAACTCTCCTAAATTAAAAATTTAACAGAGCTTCCATTAGGGAAAGAGGTGAAGTCCCTGCCCACATTAGTTTTAGGAGTCCCTCGCCCAGCCCCCAATAGACTATTCTCTTCCCTTTCTGGCAGCTACTTCTGTTCTTCCTTGCTGACTCACTTCCTGTCTTCTCAGGTGGGTGAACAAGTTAACTCCTCTGCAACACAGCTGTTGCCTTTTTTTCCCTTCAGGCTTTGCTGTCACCATTACCTTTTCAGTTGTCCCTCACTCACACCTTTATTTCAAAATTCATTACTACCATTAGGGAAACTGAACTAGTTAGCTAAAGAAAAGAAAACTCTTATTATTCTCCATAAGGAAAAAAGTAGCCCACAGATATTTAGAGTACTGCTCTTAAAAATGATGGCTATTTAAAAATTCTAAGCAACTGTCAGGCATAAGGAGAGTGGGGACCTCAGATTAATGGAAGCTCTGTGTGACAGACCTAAAAAAACCAATTATATTCTTCACATGAAATTCTTATTGTGAGTATTTTCACGATATAATAAAATTAATAGTTTTTGAAGGTACTTTTCATATAAACAACTATCTTCTTGAAAAATGATGAATCCAAATCATGCTTATTTTATAACCCAATTAACCTTTTAAATTTCAAGTTTTGGTACTTACCTTGACAATGTCACATATTCATACAAACATTTCTACCAGATACTTTACAAGTATTTTAAAGTACCTATTCACTACAAAGTGTTAATTACCTCTTTGCTTCTGCTCCGGCTCCTGTGTTTTCTTCCTTCATTATCTGTGAACAAATGCAAAAATTCAGTATAAATAAAGATACAGAACCATCTTACCTTAAACACAAATCTCAACGCTGTATATAAACAACTGACTGTAATTTTTAAATAATGGGGTGGGATCATTCTGTTATATCAATATCGTATACAAGTGAAACAAATCAAGCTATGTTGCCTAGGGCTTATTAAATAGCTACAATGGCTCAAACCTTCAACTGTAGTCACTGTGCTAGTCCAACTATTTTTTTGGGGGGGTGGGGGGGAGGGACCTTTGGTCAGTTATAAAATTCCAGCATAAGGACATCTGTATTTCTTACAATTGAAAAATTCCTAAGAAAATTCCCAATATATTTTCAATGCTCATTTCCCAGCTCAGAAGAACATAGATGAATCCATACCTGACTTTCGTTTTCTTTCTCTTGACCTTGATCGTGATCTTGAATAATGATGTTTTGAGGCTCTAGGAGAAACAGATACATCTGACTGCTCTTTTTTCTTATCTCTATCTGGGGTTGTCTTTTCTGGGGCTAGTCCATCTCGTTCTGTATCACTAGCCTAAAAGTTTAAAGACAAATGATTAAAGTTCTCAATTACACTGAAAATGTTTCCAATTTCTTAAAAAAAAAAAAAAGGAGGGAAGATAGTCATCCTTCAGTTTTACCAGTTAAAAATAAAAATGACTTGGAATGGCTGATTTCCAAGTACATTTGTACAATAATAGGCCTGAAAAATTATAACCTGCTATCCTGATACCAGAGAGACATAGATATTTTAGGCTGACATATCTTTAATTTTCAAATTAAAAAATATATATATAAAAGGGGAGGGATAAAGGTTCTAAGTTATTTCCAAGAAACATTTAAACAGAGAAAACATAATTCCTTTTACATTTGTGAACGCATTTAGGTGACTTTTTCCTACATGCCTTACTCTTAAAAGTGTCCAGTACAGAAATCAATCCATAAGTGTTTGAGGAAGAAATAAATTCTAGCTATTAGTTTACCACAAAATTGTTTATTTCTGTGGCTCTGCTGAACTGTGAGGTCCAAATTGCAAATAACAAGAGCACCATAAAGAAATTCATTTAAATTTGAGACATAGGCTCGGTGCCTGTGGCTCAAGTGGCTAAGGCGCCAGCCACATACACCTAAGGTGGTGGGTTCGAATCCAGCCTGGGCCTACCAAACAACGATGACGGCTGCAACCAAAAAATAGCCAGGTGTTGTGGCGGGTGCCTGTAGTCCCAGTTACTTAGGAGGCTGAGGCAGGAGACTCGCTTGAGCCCAAGAGTTGGGAGGTTGCTGTGAGTTGTGATGCCACGGTACTCTACCCAAGGGGACAGCTTGAGGCTGTATCTCAAAAATAAATAAATAAATAAATAAAAATAAATGTGAGACATAGAAAGAAGGCCTCAAGGTCAAACTCTAGTCTGAAAAGTTCCTTCCTTAGAGAGTGAAAACAGTTTTAGCTACCTGCAGACTGTGGACAAGTAAGCTATAGTTACCATATGACCAGAGATGGTAATATAGCCAGTAACCAGGGTAGCTGCTTACTTAGGACAGGAGTTGGCAAACCATGGTCCTTAGCCTGTTTCCATACATCCCTTGAGCTAAAAGTGGTTTTAAAATTTTGTTAGGGCCAGGCATGGTGGCTCAACACTTGTCATCTTAGCACTTTGGGAGACCAAGAGCTCAAGACCAGCCTGGGCAATAGTGAGATCTCACCTGCATAAAGGTAAGAAAAATTAGCCAGGCATGGTAGTGCACACCTGTAGTCTGAGCTACTCTGGAGGTTGAGGCAAGAGGATCAAATAACCTAGGAATTTGAAGGTGCAGTGAGCTGTGATTATGCAACTACACTCTAGCTTATGCAAGAGAGCGAGACCCTGTCTCAAAAAGAGTTGCTGAAAACAATCAAACAATAAAAATTTACTCACAACATCAAAAGAAATATAGATTGGATAAATCTTCAGCAAGATGAATCACAGAATTAACTTCTTTCTTTAGGAAGATTACTCCAGAAAATGAATACTAAGTAAAATAAATGAGAATACCAGATGGGAGAGATTACATTATTTTAAGTGTTTATGAAGGTTCAAAAATATACTAAATCCAAAGATAGACTCCAGGAATAAAATGATAAAAAAGAAAAGGTTTACAATTAGTTGGAATGAAAGACGTAAGTTACTTGTTATGTCCGTCTCTAACAATGGTACAAAAAGAAAAATAAAAAAGCAAGCACCACCTACCAGGGAGGCTCTCATTCCAGCACACCATATATGTCTTTCTCTAGTATGGGCCTGGAATTAAACAGTAATTTTTGTACTGAAAGGCTTTCGTTTTTTAGAATAGAGTTCAATGTTCTCATTTTACAGCTGAGATTCAGCAGTATTAGCTCACTAGCCTTAAAATGGTCCCACATCTCTACCTCTTTTACTATGTCTATTAATAAATCATGCTGTGTGGCTCAGTGCCCATAGCACAGTGGTTGAGGGTGCCAGCCACATACTAAAGGTGGTGGGTTCAAACCCAGCCAGGGACAGCTAAATGACAATGGCAACTGCAACAAAAATAGCTGGGTGTTGTGGCAGGCGCCTGTAGTCCAAGCTACTTGCAAGGTTGAGGCAAGAGACTTGCTTAAGCCCAAGAGTTTGAGGTTGCTGTGAGCTGTGATGCTACAGCACTCTACTGAGGGAGTCACAGTGAGACTTATGTCTAAAAAAAAAATAAATGCTGTACCACATAATTAAGGATGTTTTTGATTTTCACAATTAACACTGGACGTTTTCTTTTTTTTCCTCATCATTATCCTTAAGGGCTATTTCAGTCTCATCTATTAAGTGAGTCTCTATTCAATCTCATCTACTTAAGTGTCTAGTTTACACTTTTTTTTTTAAAAAAGGGCAACTTGAAAACTTTTCTTTTTTGAGATAGTCTCAAGCTGTCACCCTGGGTAGAGTGCCGTTGTGGCATAGCTCACAACAACCTCCAACTCTTGGGCTCAAGCAATCCTCTTGCTTCAGTTTTTCTATTTTTAGTAGAGATGGAGTCTCGCTTTTTTTGCTCAGGCTGGTGGTCTCAAACCCGTGAGCTCAAGCTATCTGTTCACTTCAGCCTCCCAGAGTGGTAGGATTATAGGTGTGAACCACCGTGCTGGGCAACTTTTTTTTTTTTTTGACAGAGCCTCGAGCTGTCGTCCTGGCTAGAGTGCTGTAGCATCACAGCTCACAGCAACCTCTAACTCCTAGGCTCAAGCCATTTCCCTGCGTCCGCCTCCCATGTAGCTGGGACTACAGGCGCCTGAAACAACGCCTGGCTATTTTTTGGTTGCAGCTGTTATTGCTGTCTGGTGGACCTGGGCTGGACTCAAACCCACCAGTTTTGGTGTATGGGAATGGCGCTTTAGCTGCCTGAGTTACAGGTGCCCAGCCAGAGATAGAGTCTTACTCTGTAGTTCTAGGGACACCAGAGCTCACAGCAACAACAAACCCTTGGGCTCAAGAGATCCTCTGGCGTCAGCCTCCAGAAAAGCTGGGACTACAGGTATGCGCTGCCATGGCCTGTTTTTCTATTTTTTAGTAGTGTCAAGATCTCCAACTCCTGAGCCCAAGTAATTTAACCATCTCCACCACCCAGATTGCTAGGATTACAGGCGGAAGCAACTGCGCCTGGCCCCAAAACTTTAGCATTATCACTTCATCAGTACACAGCAAGTTTTTGTCAAAGACAGCATTCTTGAACTACTAGTACATCTCACTGACTTTTGTTGAGAACCAAGATAGGAACCTTTTCAAAAAAAGTCAGTGATTAACCCAGGTAGTCAAAGTTTTCAGCCAATGGTTTATTTAACTACATGCTTAATACCCAAGAAGCCTGACAACAGAAATATCACCCTGTGACACAGGCCAAACAGCCATTTTCATTATAAAATACAGAAAAACAAAAGTCATCCTATTGCTAAACAGAGATGAATTTAGATAAGCAGCCACACAGAACTTTTATTTTCCCTGAAAATTATTTTATAGTATCATAATGAAGATATGCAAGGAAAAAAAAATCAGTTGATTATTCTCAGTAGGAATCCAGTGCAAAACTGCCTTCTACATGTTGTTAAAAACCACAATGACGTTTTAAACACAGTAAACAAATCTTTCTCCAGTGCAAAGAAAGTAAGCAATATATGTAACACTAGGATACCTGAAATGTTTGAACTGATTTCATGTAAATACTGGAACCCAAGAAAAACACTACTATTAAAATTGTTGAAGCCCAAGGCACGAACAAAGGAAAACAGTAATTCCACATATAGCCTACCTTGTCAAAAGACTGTTCTAAATCCAATCAATTAGATATGGGAGGTGGAGGGGAGAAGACAGAAAAACATCTAACCCTTCTAATTCCAGATATTCCAATCGTTAGAAGAGTAAACTTTAAATAAAGTTATGTTTAATTGTCTTAAACTATTTTCAAAAATGAGAAGATAAACTTTTTAGTCACCAAAAAGGAACACAAAATGCCTAAGTAAGCTTAAATAATGCTCCTTTTGAACTTAAGTAAGGTAATCACACAATAATGTGATCCGTCAGAAATGGGCATCTTACACCCAAGGCAGGATTACAGTTCATGATAGGTATTTTACGAACTGTACCTCTTATTTGGGTCAAACAAGGGTTTTTTTAAGGAACAAGGTCAGTGATGAATGTGATTACAATGCTTTCCAGACTTCACATTTATTAAACCAGACATCATTTTGAACTGGTACTTCCAAAGCCTTCTAAGTCGAATTCCTACTTTTCCAGCTCTTTCCTGAGGAATTAAACTAAGGTCTTACATGGACGAACACGAAAGAAAATTATGGAACTAGAAGCATTAAAGCGTCTCAAAAAAAAAAATATAGCTACAAGACTGTTTTCTTCTCATATACCACCCCTTAGAAACACTGTCTTTTTGACCCCATACTTTTCAGAAACGCCCCATCTTTCTTTCCTCCCTAGACCTTCTCCACCTCAAACATACATTCTCGAGCCACAAAAATTCAATATAAATCACTAGCCAGGATGAATAAACTAAAATGTAGGGAGTTTAGTGTGCTGAAAGGAACACAAGGTTATGGGAGAGATAAGGAAAGTTCTGGAAAAAAAAAAAGACACTCCCTGCGGCTCCCCACCCCCATCGACACCGCCTTACTTCCCCCCCTACAGCGGGCAGCCATGATGGCGGGCGCAAAAGAAGGCCGCGGCGCCATTTTGTCCACACACGCACGGACAACAGTTCTGGGAGCCGTTCACCCACTCTGGAAAGTAGCAGGAAAACATCCTGGCTTTAAACACAGATGTGGTACTTACCGCCATAGTTGAGAGTCCCGGCCGCTAGGGCGGCGCCTCCACCAGCCGCTTCCAACAGTACCTGCCGGTCCGAAGCTTCACCACAGACTAAATAGCTCGCAGGAGAGACCCGGATGGCACAAAGGAGGATGAGGCCCGGCGCGTCGCACAGCTTGCTGGGAGGAAAAAGGGCGGTGACAAGATTTCTATAACAACGCGTTTCGAGACGGTGATTGGTTGTACTTTCAAAGGGGCGGTGTAAGGCCTGCTAAGGGGGCGGGGCCAAGAATACACCCTAGAATGCGCAGCCGGGAGTTCGAAATTGGTGGAATTCAGGGTGGGGCGACTTCCTCTTTCGACTCTGAAGCAATGTTGGCCTCTTGGAGCCGCCGTAAAAGAGGTTGGGTTTGGTGTTCTCCCGCCAATTTAAACTTGTGGGATGGAACCTAAAGAGATTAGAGGCGGTTGTTTGAGTCAGGAAGCGGGGCGAGATACTTGAATCTTCTTAGTCTCCTCAATTGCAGGTGAGGAGGGGGACCTGCACTGCTGTAGGGAGCTGAGGGTGGGCTCAAGTTGCAGCAGCCTTAGCTCCAGTTCGAAGTTTTTCCTTACGACGCTGGCAGAGAGGTTGGAGTCGGGTTTTGCTGGCACAGGTGTCCAGCGGAAAGCTTTTATATATGGAGGCCTGGAAATGTTTCATTTCTCTTATCTCATATTCGCTAATCTGTACTCCACGCCTCAGCCAGGTGATCTTAAAATGCCTCTATCCAATCACGTCACCATCTGCTTAATAGCCTCCCGTCCCTCCGCACTGAGAATGAAATTCAGTCTTGTGGAGGTTTCATTTGGTTCTACCTACCTATCTCTCACTATATTCCGCTCTTGCTTTGACCTGGAAGCAGCCCTTAAACTCTTTCTAGCCTCAGAACCTTTTTGCGTTCTGTGCCCTCTGCCTGCATAGCTGCTGAGCTTTGCGTAGTTGTTTTCTTGTTACTCAGGTATGAGCTCAAATGTCACCGCCTTCCTTTCCCGGTGAAGTCCTTAAGTGATTCTTCCCCCGTCCCTCTGAGATGTTTCCTTCAAAACGTTCAGCCCTTTTTTTGGTAATGATTTGCATTTTTTCGCGGCGGTGGGCATTATAAGAGTTAAGCAGCCGTAGATTTGCATCATTTACAATATTCCATTTAAGTGACGTTGGTTGATTATTTCATCCCTGACTCGTGTTCCTCAACTATAGTGTTGGTTGTGCAGAATAAATAAGTAAAGCGTTTAATACAGCTGGGCGTGCAATAAAAGCTCAATACATGGTGGCACCTGTAGCTCAAGCGGCTAAGGCGCCAGCCACATACACCAGAGCTGGCAGGTTCGAATCCGGCCCAGGCCTGCCAAACAATGATAACTACAACCAAAAAATAGCCGGAGGTTGTGGCAGGCGCCTGTGGTCCCAGCTACTCGGGAGGCTGAGGCAAGAGAATCGCTTAAGCCCAAGAGTTGGAGGTTACAGTGAACTGTGACACCAGGGCACTCTACCCAGGGTGGTAGCTTGAGGCTCTGTCTCAAAAACAAACAAACAAACAACAACAAAAAAAGAAAACCCTCAATACACACAGACATGTGCTTTTTTTTTTTTTTTGGAGACAGTCTCACTTTGTCGCCCTGAGTAGAGTGCCATGGTGTCACAGCTCACAACAACCTCAAACTCTTGGGCTTAAGTGATTCACTTGCCTCAGCCTCCCAAATAGATGAGTCTATAGGCACCCACAGTGCCTGGCTATTTTTAGAGGCGAGGAGTGGCTCTGGCTCAGGCTGGTCTGAAACTCCTGAGCTTAGGTATTCCACCCACCTTAGCCTCCCAGAGTACTAGGATTACATGCGCTTACGCCTGGCCAATACATATTATTTATTTTATTTTTGTCTGTTCTTCCCATGAGAATGTAAACTTTATAATGGCAATGGCATTTTGCGAGTGTTTCACAACTGTATTTCCAGCTGCTAGAAAAGTACCTGGCACATAGTAGGTAGGTATTTAATAAACATTTGTTGAATGAGAGAGTATGGCAGCCCTGGGAAGTTGATACTCATTCTCTATTTTACACATGGGAAACTGAAGCAAAACTGAAGTGAAATATTCTTGCTGATCTGTCCCTCCTATCTTGAACTCCTCCCAACCCCTGCTGAAACGCCAGGCACTAAAACTATACTCTATTTTTCCAACATTTTGTTTTTGTACCCTGCTTATGCTCTTAGGGAAAAACTCTCATGACCTTAAATTCCCAGCCCAGGTGTTATATAGTAGCCTCCATTTATAAGTGTGAGTTGTGCTTAAGTTGTATGTTTATACCTCTGGGACTACCTGTACTTGCTAAAACTTCAAACTGAGTGTTTCCCAAAAGCCAAGCATTAGGGTGTGCACATTTAAAACTCAATGTGTAAAGCTACAATCATTGCTTGGTATTGGTACCTGTGAGGATTTGATTTCAGGACCACCCACGGATACTAAAAGTCTTGGGTACTCATGTCCTTGATCTAAAATGGCATACTAGGTCTGGTGCGGTGGCTCATGCCTGTAATCCTAGCACTCTGGGAGGTTGAGGAGGGTGGATTGCTTGAGCTCTGGAGTTCAAGAGCACACTGAGCGAGAAAAAGATCCCTGCCTCTACTAAAAGTAGAAAAACTAGAGAGCACTTGTAGTCCTAGCTATTCAGGAGGCTGAGGCAAGAAGGAAGACTTTGAGCTGGAGTTTTTCTTTTTTTTTTGAAACAGAGCCTCAAGCTATCCCCCTGGGTAGAGTGCCGTGGCTTCACAGCTCACAGAAACCTCCAACACAGCTCACAGAAACCTCCAACTCCTGGGCTCAAGCGAGTCTCCTGCCCCAGCCACCCAAGTAGCTGGGACTAGAGGTGCCCGCCACAATGCCTGGCTATTTTTTGGTTGCAGCCGTCATTGTTGTTTGGCGGATTCGGGCTGGATTCGAACCCGCCACCTTAGGTGTATGTGGCTGGCGCCTTAGCCACTTGAGCCACAGGTGCCGAGCCTTTGAGCTGGAATTTGAGGTTGCTGTGGGCTATGATACCATGCCACTCTTCTCAGAAAGATAGAGTAAGATTCTGTCTCAAAAACAAACAAAAAAAATGCTTTTGGTGGCACATATCAAAAAAATGGTAATTATTTGGTTATTGTTTTCTCCTAGTCTTGATCCAAGGATTATTTTTCTTCTCAGTGTTCTGTTTCCATGCAGACTATTGATGCGTCAAGTAAATCTTTGTTATTGAGATGGTTAGGTAACTCTCCTAAGGTTTCATGTGTTGTCTTTGGTTCAGAAACCTAATCCAGTTTCTTTCTCCTCCCCTTATCATTTTTATTTATTGAACAATAATACTGTAAAAACATTAGTGGACATTTTTTAGAGGTTCATCTGGAATCTCATCGTCATAAGATATCCCAGACTTAAAAGTGTACCTTCTTTGTCACTGTACTGATTGAAGATTTATTTCAAATGAAAACTTGATATAGTTTCCATTCTAGGGACACAAAGTACAAGAAGCTGTAGGACACATTGGTAAGATCAGAATTGTTTGTATATGTAAATCAATATGTTGTTCTCTGGTGGTAATAGCTCTAGTTCCATTTATCTTAGTGGCCCAAAGCATCTACTGACCACAGAAATAACATGAAAACAAGTCTTTATATGTTGATATTAGATTTTTTTTTTTTTTAAAGACAAGGTCTCCCAGCTCGGTGCCTGTGGCTCAAGTGGCTAAGGCGCCAGCCACATACACCTAAGGTGGCAGGTTCGAATCCAGCCTGAGCCCGCCAAAACAAAATTGTTGGCTGCAACAAAAAAAAAAATAGTTGGGCTTTGTGGCGGGCGCCTGTGGTCTCAGCTACTTGGGAGGCTGAGACAGGAGACTTGCTTGAGCCCAGGAGTTGGAGGTTGCTGTGAGCTGTGATGCTACAGCACTCTACCCAGGGGGACAGCTTGAGGCTCTGTCTCAAAAAAAAAAAAAAAAAAAAGACAAGGTCTCCCTCCCTCTGTTGCCCAGTCTGGAATGCAGTAGTGTAATAATAGCTTACTGCAGCCTTGAACTCCTGGGCTCAAGTGATTGTCTTGCCTCAGCCTCCCAAGTAGCTGGGACTATAGGCACATGTCATCATGCTTGGCTAATTTAATTTTTTGTAGAGATAGGATCGCACTATGTTGTCCAGGCTGGCCTTGAACTCCTGGCATCAAATGATCCTCTCACCTTAGGCTCCCAAAGTATTGGGGTTATAGGCATGAGCCACTGTGCCTGACCTGTTTTTTTGTTATTTTAGTAAACTTTTTCATTTAAGGACTTGGATTACATACAACAAAATAACTTGGTCTCTAAATTTACATGTTGTCACAGGAAAGACAGTGGTTCCTGACTTGGAAAAATACTCAGAAAAATATGTGGAATGATATTGAGTTGCTAACAAGTGATGATACAGGAAGTGGGTACCTGAATGTTGGTTCAAGAAAAGAACATGGAACTGCTTTATATCAAGTAGATTTGCTAGTGAAGATCTCCTCTGAAAAGGTAATGATCGTTACATGGTCTGTTTCCTTCACAACATTTTTCCCGAGTGCTTAGTAGGCCTGTTTTGTGAATGAATATACTACTTTCACCCTGAGCAAGTCCTAAAGTGAGGAATCAAGATTCAATTGTATTTTCAAAATTGAACTTTTCCTAGTTCCTCTTGGCAGTTAGCCCATACAAAATGTACATAAATTGATACAAAGAATATCTACCACTAGCTTAGGAAATAAAATATTTTCTTAAAAAAATTTTTTTTCAGTATGGCTGCCTAGGGGTCCCACCCTGATCCCATCCTCTTCCTGTACTTCATCCCTGGATTAAACACCCTAGTGAATTTGAGGTTCATTCTTTCCATGCATTTTTTACCTACCTTTGACTTGCTTCTTCCTATACCATCCTCTTCCTTTTGTTCTTTTTTTTTGAGATGGAGTCTGGGTTTTTAGCCCAGGCTGGTATGCAACAGTCATCATAATTCATTTCAACCCCCAATTCTTGGGCTTACAAGATCCTCTTGTCTTGGCCTCCCAAGTAGCAGGGACTACAGGCAAGCACCATTTATTACACCTGGCTAATTTTTTAATTTTTTATAGAGTCAGGGGTCTCAATAATGCCCAGGCTGGTCTTGATCTCTTGGCATCAAGTGACCCTCCTCCTTTGGCTCCCAGAATGCTAGGATTACAGATGTGAACCATCACATTCAGCTAACTTTCCCCTTAATAATTCTACCATTCTCACTCTAGTACTAAAACCTTATACTTTCTCTTCCTTAGAAGGTACTACTGTTAGTTTTTTATCTCGGATTTCTCTTTTCAGTAATTTGTTTTTGATAAAATATTCATGATCTTGGCGAAGAAGATTTCTTGTAGAGAAAGCATAACTGGGCTCAGCACCTGTAGCACAGTGATTGCAGGGCCAGCCACATAAACCAAGGCTGGCAGGTTTGAACCAGGCCCGGGCCAGCCGAACAGCAATGACAGCTGCAACAAAAAATAGCCAGGCATTGTGGCTGGTGCTTGTAGTCCCAGCTACTTGGGAGACTGAGGCAAGAGAATCGCTTAAGCCCAAGAGTCAGGTTGCTGCCATAGTCCTCTACGGAGGGCAACATATTGAGACTCTGTCTCAAAATTAAAAAAAAAAAGAAGTATAACTGATTATCTGTCACAGTATTATACCACAGAGTCCCCTAACTTCATTTATGCCAACATAATATTTAATTCTATTAATAAGAAAAACTGGTTACAGTGATTCACACGTATAATCCTAGCACTTTAGGTGGCTGAGGTAGGCGGGTTGCCTGAGATCAGGAGTTTGAGGCCAGCCTGAGCAAGAGTAAGACCCCCATCTCTAAATATAGCTGGGTGTTGTGGCAGATGCCTATAGTCCCAGCTACTTGGGAGGCTGAGGCAAGAGAATATCTTGAGCTCAAGAGTTTGAGGTTGCTGTGCGCTATGACACCATAGCACTCTACCGAGGGGGACAAAGTGACACCGTTTCAAAAAAAAAGAAAAAAGAGGGCAGCACCTGTGGCTCAGTGGGTAGAGTGCTGGCCCCATATACCAAGGGTGGCTGGTTCAAACCTGGCCCTGGCCAAACTGCAACAAAATAATAGCTGGGCATTATGGCAGGTGCCTGTGGTCCCAGCTACTTAGGAGGCTGAGGCAAGAGAATCACCTAAGCCCAGGAACTGGAGGTTGTTGTGAGCTGTGTGACACCACAGCACTCTACTGAGGGCAACAAAGAGAGACTCTGTCTCTACAAAAAAAAAAAGTTTAAAAGTAAGGAAAGGGCTGGGCACTATGGCTCATGCTTGTGATCCTAGCACTTTGCTAGGCCTGTGAGGGAAGATCACTTGTAGTCAGGAGTTGGAGAACAGTGTGAGCTAGAGTGAGACTCCATTTCTCTCAAAAATAGAAAAAAATGGCTCGGCGCCTGTGGCTCAAGTGGCTAAGGCACCAGCCACATATACCTAAGGTGGCGAGTTCGAATCCTGCCCGGACCGCCAAACAACAATGACGGCTGCAACCAAAAAAAGTAGCCGGGCATTGTGACGGGTGCTGTGGTCCCAGCTACTTGGGAGGCTGGGGCAGGAGACTCGCTTGAGCCCAGGAGTTGGAGGTTTCTGTGAGCTGTGAAGCTACGGCACTCTACCCAGGGGGATAGCTTGAGGCTCTGTCTCAAAAAAAAAAAAAAAAAAAAAATTAGCTGTATGTGGTGGAGTGTACCTGTAGTCCCATCTACTCAGGAAGCTGAGACAGGAGTATCATTTGAGCCTAGGAGTCTGTGGTTACATTGAGCTCTGAGGATGCCACTGTACTCTACCCAGGGCAATAGAGCGAGACTCTGTTTCAATGAAAACAAAAAACAAAATAAAAAACAAAAAGAGACCAACTGTTAGAGACAAGATTTAGATCTTCTAGAGCAGTGGTTCTCAACCCGTGGGTCTTGACCCACAGGAACTATATTAAAAGGGCCGCGCATTAGGAAGGTTGAGAACCACTGTTACAGAGTGAAAGGTGAGGCATCCTCTGGGGACTTTATTTATAAAGGACTTTAAATTTAGGCTTATGACTTTTTTTTAATATTTTTATTTTTTGAGACAGAGTCTCAAGCTGTCGCCCTGAGTAAAGTGCTGTGGCATCACAGCTCATAGCAACCTTAAACTCTTGTGCTTAAGCTATTCTCTTGCCTCTGTCTCCCAAGTAGCTGGGACTACAGGCACCCATGACAATGCTTGGCTATTTTTGTTGTTGTAACTGTCATTGTTTGGCAGGCCTGGGTTGGGTTTGAACTTGCCAGCTCTGGTGTATGTGGCTGGCGCCCTAGCTGCTGAGCTACAGGTGCCAAGCCAGAGTTATAACTTTTCTTCAAAGGAAGTTCTATATGTACTCAAAGAAACTGGCTGATAAGATTTTAAAAAAGAGGCTCATCACCTGTAGCTCAAGTGGCTAAGGCGCCAGCCACATACACCAGAGCTGGCAGGTTCGAATCTAGCTTGGGCCTGCCAAACAACAACAACTACAACTAAAAAATAGCCAGGTGTTGTGGCAGATGCCTGTAGTCCCAGCTACTTGGGAGGCTGAGGCAAGAGAATCGCTGAAGTCCAGGAGTTAGAGGTTGCTGTGAGCTGTGATGCCAGGGCACTCTACTTAGGGCAATAGCTTGAGGCTTGTCTGAAAAAAATAAAGATTTTGAAAAACTCTTTTTTTAAGGCTAGTCAAGTGAAGCAGTGGGAATGAAGAAGAAACAAGTCATTCTTTAACTGGTATCCTATTGTTGAGCTATACTAAATTTAGCATACCATAAATTATATTGAGTAGTATGTGATTCATGGTATGTTAAAGGCAGCATAGTCCAACAATAAAATAATTAGTAAAACAAATATCATTTTATGAGTAGTACAAATAAATTACATTGTAGTTTTGGGAATAAACTGTTTTATTTGTTAGAGGCAAAAATTTAAATTATACTTGAAACAAATAAAAATCATAGAAATATTACAAGTTCTATAACAAGAAAACGGTATTTCTTTATTTTTTAATATTACCAGGAGCTGGCTCTGCACCCATAGCAGAGTGGTTATGGCGACAGCCATATACACCAAGGGTGGCGGGTTTGAACTTGGCCAGGGCCAGCTAAACAACTGCAACAAAAAAAACAGCTGGGTGTTTTGGTGGGTACCTATAGTTCCAGCTACTTGGGAGGCTGAAGCAAGAGAATCGCTTAAGCCTAAGAGTTTGAGGTTGCTGTGACCTGTGACATGGTACTCTACCTAGGGGGACATAATGAGCCTCTGTCTCAAAAAAACAAAAAAAATATTATCAGGAGCTTTAAAATATGAAAGTGGCTCACTCAGGCTTCTCTGGATCTCTGAGGGCTCCTGTTAAAAAATAATTGAGTGTTTTGAGCTTCAGATTCAGTCAGTACCTAAATTCTATCTGATATTAGCTTAGAGCATACAACTCATCAACACATTTTAAACATTGGCTATGTTCAGAGCCCCGTACTAGGACTTGGGACAGAAGAGGGCATATTATCCTTTCCTTTTAGGCTCTTGCCTTAAAGTGAGGCAGACAGGGCAGTTTAAGGAGCACTTCATTCAAAAAACTTTACTTTGAACTGGGCGTGGTGGTGTGTGCCTGTAGTCTCAGATACTAGGAGGGAGAGCAGGATGGTTTGAGCTCAGGATTTTAAGGGTAGGCTGTGCAACATAGTAAGACTTTTTTCTAAAAATATTTGCAGGTGGCGCCTGTGGCTCAGTGGATAGGGCACCAGCCCTATATACCAAGGGTGGCAGGTTTGAACCCAGCCCTGCCAAATTACAAGAAAAAAATAGCCGGACATTGTGGTAGGCACCTATAGTCCCAGCTACTTGGGATGCTGAGGCAAGAGAATTGCCTAAGCCCAGGAGTTGGAGGTTGCTGTGAGCTGTGATGCCACGGCACTCTACCCAGGGCAGTAGGGTAAGACTCTGTCTCTTAAAAAAGAAAATTTCGTAAAAAGCTGCACTAAGACTTGGGCCTTAAGAAGAAGAGAGAGAACAGTGTGGACAGATCCCAAGAAGATAACAGGACAGTAATTTTTTTGCAACATATTGGTGTAACTTTTTCTAGTTATAGAAGCAACTAAAAGGATAGAAGAGGAATCAGAATGTTGTATAATTTTTTTTTTTGAGACAAAGTCTCACTATGTCACTTTTGGTAGCATGCCGGGGCATCTCAGCTCACATCAACCTCCAACTCTTGGGTTTAAGCGATTCTTTTGACTCAGCCTCCCAAGTAGCTGGGACTACAGGCGCCTGCCACAATGCCTGGCTATTTTTGTTGTTGCAGTTGTCACTGTCGTTTAGCTGGCCTGGACTGGGTTTGAACCGGCCAGCCTTGGTGTATGTGGCCGGTGCTGTAACCACTGTGCTATGGGTGCCGAGCCAACGTTGTGGAATTTTAAGGAGTTACACCTGGAGAAGGTGACCTCTGAAACGGTCAAAAATGAAGAGATCAGTTATATTTTGACCTAAGAGAATAAGAATAGTTAGCATTGGCTCGGCGCCTGTGGCTCAAGCGGCTAAGGCGCCAGCCACATACACCTAAGGTGGCGGGTTCGAGTCCCCAGCCCGGGCCCGCCAAACAGCAATGATGGCTGCAACCAAAAAATGGCCAGGCGTTGTGGCGGGCGCCTGTAGTCCCAGCTACTTGGGAGGCTGAGGCAGGAGACTCTCTTGAGCCCAGGAGCTGGAGGTTGCTGTGAGCATGATGCCATGGCACTCTACCCAGGGGGATAGCTTGAGGCTCCGTCTCAAAAAAAAAAAAAAAAAAAGATAGAACTTATTGAGCATATACTTTGTACAAGGCTCTCTCATAAGCCCTTTTTACATGAATTAATTCATTTAATCTTCCTATAAGTGAGCATTGTAGGTATTATTATTACTGATTTACAGGGAATCTGTTGAGGCATTTGCCTGTGATCACTCAGCTAGTAAGTGACTGAGCTTTCTCAACCACTAAGCTGTCCAACTGCTTCAAGATAGATGTGTGGGGGATATTCTAATCAACAGAAGCTGAATGCTGAAGACTCAGATGTGGCTTGCATAGTGTTTTTAAAAATGTTAATGTAGCTGCCAGTAGTTAAGAATCAGAATATTTTGCATAAAGATCCAGATTTTTTTATATAAATTGAAAGATGTGGTCATGCCAGTGCTGCATCTCCACTGGGCTTTCCACTGGCTGGTGTTAAGTAGATTCTGTTCTCAAATTCATACTTCCATTTACCTCTATAGCACATCCATGACACGGAGACTTTATGCCAGTCTTGATTCATTCATTTATGTTAATGGCTGGCTCCTACAGCATAAGATCAACCCTTAGGAAAAAAGGAATTGGCATAGGAATTCTTTGCCCTTCTGAACTGTTTTACCCTATGTAGGACCTTGAGTGGATTCAAGATATATTCAAGATATATAGGCATCAAAGAAAAATTGATGCCTAATTAGATAGATGGGCTGCAGAAAAAAAGGCCCATCAAAATGAGTTGTGTTTATTGCCCTTGATACAGTGCTGTGGCATTATAGCTCACAGCAACCTTTCTCTTTTTTTTAAAATTTTCTCTATACATATACATGTGTTTATTTGGTTTCCACTTTTTCCCTTTACAAACTTAAAACTTACAGCAACCTCTAACTCTTGGACTCAAGCAGTTCTTTTGCTTCAGCCTCCCCAGTAGCTAGGACTATAGGCTCCTGCAACAACGCCAGGCTATTTTTAGAGATGGGATCTTGCTCTTGCTCAGGTGGGTGCTTGTAAGCTCAAGCAATCCATCTGCGTCAGCCTCCCAGAGTGCTAGGAGTAAACAGGCGTGAGCCACCACATCCGTCCTTGAATCGAGTTTTAAAGTTGGGTATTTGGGATGATGGATGTACTATTGATGAATATTGCTAAATTTGTGTAAAAATGTTTTAATTTAAGTCATGCTTTTCCTTCCCACAGGCTTCATTAAACCCAGAGATACAAGCATGCAGCTTAAGTGATGGGTTTATTATTGTAGCAGACCAATCAGTGATACTGCTTGACAGTATCTGTAGATCACTTCAATTGCATCTTATATTTGGTACGTAATGAAATGAAGTACAATAAATTGAAAGTCAAATGTGTCTTGCTGCCAGTTTCTACTGGATTGCTTCTTATTTACTCCATTATTTCTAAGAATTGAAATTAGGTAAATTTCAATTCACTAATTTGCTTAATTCATGTAAAATCAAAAGAAACATCACTCCAGAAATTAATCCTTTTTGCGCTGGGCAGTAGATAGAGTATACTGAAATGATCCCTTTTCTCAGTAAGTCTAAGGGAAAACCTATAAAGCAACAATTTACTTGCATGGTTTTTGTGTCAGAATACTGTGGAGAACAGATGAGCCCATACATGTTCAAATTCCTGAATCTTGTACATAATTTCAACATCATTAATAGATATTTGCATATTTATAGAATGTATAGCAATAAAAATCTTTTGAAATATTTATGAATTCTTTAGCAAGTTAATAGGCTTTAAGTACATGCAAACATGGCCTTAAGATTGAATTAAGGGACAAACCAGTGATTGTGCCAAAATTAGGCAAAAACATTATGAAAGGTTTTTTTTCTGGAGTACAAATGTTAAGATGGTTGCTGAAGCATTCATGTAAGAGTATAGACAATTAAAAAAGAACCAGAAGGCATATATTTTAGAATAAAATCTTGATTGCATCATGGAGGCAAGAAACTCATTTTATGGAAGCTTTTTATATTGACCCTGATTGGTCCACGAAATTCACAATTTCACAATGAAATAGTAGGCTGTGATAATATGTAAGACATTTGGGTAAAGGCATTGCTACTGAACAATTTTAGTTCATAAGCCAGTTGCATACTATTTCTCTTGCCATCACCTTGTCTGCTTGATTTTTTTTTTTTTTTTTTTTGAGACAGAGCCTCAAGCTGTCACCCTGGGCAGAGTGCCGTGGCATTACAGCTCACAGCAACCTCCAACTCCTGGGCTCAAGCGAGTCTCCTGCCTCAGCCTCCCAAGTAGCTGGGACCACAGGCGCCCGCCACAATGCCTGGCTATTTTTTGGTTGCAGCCATCATTGTTGTTTGGCAGGTCCGGGCTGGGGATTCGAACCCGCCACCTTAGGTGTATGTGGCTGGTGCCCTAGCCGGTTGAGCTATAGGCGCCGAGCCTGTCTGCTTGATTTTTAGTTGCCTTGGCCTTTTTGCTAATTCATGAACATAGCATGCATACTCCCACTTGATTTTTGGAGAGGAGGGGCAGAGGTAGGCAGGGTCTCCCTCTATTGCCTAGGCTAGAGTGCAGTGGTACAATCATAGCTCACTCTAACATTAAACCCCTGGGCCCAAGTGATCCTCCCATATCAGTCTCCCGAGTAGCTGGTTAATTTTTCTATTTTGTGTAGAGATGGGGGTTCTTACAATGTTGCCCAGGTGGGTCTTAAACTCCTAGCCTTAGGTAATCCTCCCCTCTTGGCCTCCCCAAATGGTAGGATTATAATCATGAGTCATGGGTCAGGCCCATTTCTTACCTTATGATATTTTTATTATGCTAATTGTCATCTGTTCTTGTAGAATTTGAGTTTGGTAATGCTGGGGCTCTTTTGTTATTCTCAGGTATAAGACCTAGAACAATGCTTAGCATAAAATAAGTGGTCAGTAAATATTTCTTTGCTGAATAAAATTCAGACTGCTTTTTTACTTTCATCACAAGTTTTTTGGAATATTTAGAAGTAACTTAAATAATAGTTGACTTTTTAATGATAGAAATTTACATTTTTTATAGTGAAAAAAAGCATTTTTAAAGGAAGCTTATAACTTTGATTTGAAATTTTCAGATACTAATGTGGATGTGGTTGGCCTATGTCAAGAAGGAAAGTTTCTTTTGGTTGGCGAGAGAAGTGGCAACTTACATCTTATTCATGTAAAATCAAAGCAAACATTACTTACTAATGTAAGATCTTATTATATGTTTCATATTCATTATTTAAGTTCTCTTAGGCAACTAAAACTCTAGGAAACCGTTATATGTATTTCAAATTAAAAGAATGATTTTTAAATATTAAATTTCAGTCATACCTCAAAAACATAAATGCAAAATTGAATAATGAATCATTTTAGGAATTTTAGTGTGCTTATCCAAAATAATTTTCTACATTAAAACTGAATGAAATGTTGGCTCGGCGCCTGTGGCTCAAGTGGCTGAGGTGCCAGCCACACACACTTAAGGTGGCAGGTTCGAATCCAGCCCGGCCCGCCAAACAACACTGATGGCTGCAACCAAAAAAAATGGCCGGGCGTTGTGGCAGGTGCATGTGGTCCCAGCTACTTGGGAGGCTGAGGCAGGAGACTCACTTGAGCCCAGGA